GCTAACAACAGTTGATGATCCATGCTTATAGAGGCCTTTACTTATGAGGTCGGTTTAGTTAACTCTACTAGTGAGTTTCCACAGTCCTTTTAATCTCCATGGATTTATAGGACACGATTACATGTCACTAACATTGTAAATTCCATCTACTGTAATTTGTGGTTTTTCCTCTGTCTACTCTATCTTCCTGTACCTTTCTGTGGAGTGTATCTATAGAGTTGGAGGTTTCAATCTGTGGCTACTGGTCTCACTAACCTGCCTTTTCAATCTTCTTAATTTCCACCTTGGACTTCAACTCAATCCAAATGGTTGGGGCATATGGATTCAGATGCCTCAATTTGAATCTGTTAAAGGTCATTTTGTGTTAGAAATATTTTTCTGACCTTATAAAGAGCTTTCCATTGTTTTCTCTCTATAATGTCAGAGTCATAGTTATACAAAAGGAGGGAAGTTTATGCAATTTGTTCAAAAAGGTTTATTTAACAAAAAGAAAGAAAGAAAGAAAGTGGAAGGCAGAGGAAAGTGGAGGAAGTGGCTACCACAACTAACAATGAAGGAGAGTCTAGCTCGGTAAGCCAAATCTCTAAGATGACCCAAGTCTTCTAACCAAGTCAGACTTCTGCAGGGTTAGGCTCGCCCAGAGCATTGTCATGCAACCCAAATGATTACTTTCACATATTTAAGGCTCATAGGAAGCACTGAATGTGCTGGTATGCTGCCCCCTCATTGGTTTGAATACCTTAAAGCTTGTATTACAGGCTTTGAGGGATTAGAGGTTGTGTCGTCAGGAGGATTTAGGTACATAAGTCCCACTGGTTGGTTAATTGAACTTAAATGGAACAAACTGTGGATATGTGTGCATAAAAAATACCACTCTAGACACATGGAACTCAGACTTCATTTTCTGAAGACATTTTTTTTTTTTATTAAGAAAAAAAAACAAAAACATTTTACACTTTTGTAGCTTACAGATTGGCCATAGAAAAACAAACAAAAACCCAAACTTTCAAATTCTTTTAAAAATGTTTTTTCTTCTTCTTTACGAATTGAAAAAAAAAAAAAATCCCATGTACATTCTCAAAAAGGAAGGGCTGGTATATGGTGTAATGAAGGAAAGAGACCATGATCAAACAGTTGACAGAATGTGGGGAGAAGGATAAATAAAATACAACTTATTTTCCCAGAAGACCTAGCTAGACCTGGACCCCAACTAAAAGGCTGTATTTCTTCATTAACAGATGTGTCACTGTTACATAGCCCAAAATCCAGCCCTGTTTTGTTTAATGCTGCATCTATATTCGAATCCAAATCTTGCAGATATGTTGTTCTCATTAAAAGACAAAAAAACCAAAAACAAAACAAACAAAAAAAAAAAAAACCAACCAAAAATAAACAAATGTAGACAATATGACATTTGAAATCAGGATATTCTTGTGCGGATCCAGTAAGGTTTTTTTAGCTTAATTTGATAAGCATTCTGATTGGAATATTTTGTAGAGAGATAGTTAGACATGTCTAAATAAGCAGAATGTAGAATTGTTATTTGATATGGTGGACTCATGTTCATTGGATTTACTGCTTTTGGTGCAAAGGGCTGGCCTCTCAAAGGGAAAAAAAAAAAAATAAAAAAAAATTATATATATATATATATATATATATATATATATATATATATATATATATATATATATATATATATATTATATATATATATATATATATATATATATATATATATATATATATATATATATATATATATATATATATATCTCAATCAAATAATTTCCAAGGTTCAAATACACACACATACATAAACACACACACACACGAGATTTTGATATAAGTAGGTAGAAAATGGGCTTAGTGGCAGTGCTACTGTGTTTCATACCCCTCACGCATTCATACCTTTATCAGTCACAAAAATATGATATTTTGCTAAAACAAAATTCAGTTTGATGTGACACATATTTAATCAGTGCATTTCAAATGACAAGACTGTGGATAGTGGTTTAGTTTGGTTAACTTTCCAAACTACAAAGGATTCTTTGTTGGGTTTAGTTTAACTGGAGATTCAAATATTTACTCTTCAGGAAATTACGTCTTACTTAAAGGTTAGTACCACCTGTTGGTACTAAAAAATATTTTGCAGTATTGCACAACAAGTCATAAGTTGTTGTTTTTTTTGTGTTTGCTTTTTGATTAATATTTGTACATGTCACTCCAGTGACAGATTTGCATATTTGAAACCTATCTGAAATATAAAAAAGGCAAATGTGACAAACAGACAATCTAAAATAAAACAGAATGAGAAACTGCAGAATTCGACAAAGATCAGTATAAAATAAAAATGACTTTTTAAATGAAAAAAAAAAAAAATCTTCAGAAACTTTTTACGTTCACCTGCAGGTGACTTTCACATTTCAACATCCATCAGTAAAAACTTGTGCATCGCTAATGCTTTAGTTCTATTGAAAAGTCATGATCTTTGAGAATTAGTTAGCTTATGTTAACAGATGTTTTACATAGGCTAACTGATAGGGAGTGTATGAAGGCAGGAGAGCAGGTACATACTGTAAATATACACTGAGGGGAAGCATAATTCAATAAATGACTGCATTAGTTATTATTAGTCCACATTTCCCTGAAGCAATTTTAGCACTAAGAAATATTCAGCCTTATTTTCAATGCTTAAGGCATTTTTTTTTTCTATATACCTTTTTGTTGGCAAGTTTGAATTTCATTTAATATTCAACACATCTGAGCAAATTAAACTGCAATTGCAGATCTTTCTTTAGATCATTAATTGCATTTTTAAAACCTTAGTGCAAAGATTTTTCAGAGAAACTGAGAACCAGATCTATACAAAAGTGTAATAATAGAACAAAGCATTGTATCTGTATTAAAATGGGAGTGGGGAAACGGGAGCTGAGCTATACAAAGAAGACTTATATATGAAAAGTTGTATGAAAATAGATGCCTGATGGATTTGGTTTCACAAATCCCTTTTAATGATATCAACTACTTTATTCTATTTGAAGGAATTAAATAAATGGACACAAAGTTCTCAAAGCTTAAATGAAACGAGAGCCAGGAAATGAAATGAAAATGAGGCCCTGGTCTCACTATCACCTCTCATGTGAAGCTGTTGATGAAAATCCTGCAATGCATGTGTACTGTATAACTGTGTAATGTGTGCATCTTGATCTAATTTCAATTTTTTTATTTTTTGCTTATTTCAGAACCAAAGTGAGACTAGAGTGTTTTGAAAATGTACCAATTTTACTGGAGAGGCCCCTGAGAGCCCAGAATAAAAAGAAGGCAATACATATTTTTTGGCCTCATTGTTTGATATGAAATCAAAAGGATTAAAATGAAAAAAAAGTGCAATATAGCCTTATGTCAAGTAACTGTTTTTCATATTTGACTGCGGTTAAAATAGGCAGTTATGGTGTGATTTTCATCTCTCTGTAGCAAAGAAGGATCTAATGGCTTACCAAGCTGGATGAAAACATTAGTTTCAATTGCTACCAATGTAGCTCTGTCACCCAGAGTTAAGTGTCTTTTTTTGGATGCTGGGTTAATGCAGCTGTACAGTAGACAAAAGCATTACAAAGAAGATCCTGAGTGGATGGTCGCTGGTGACGCACACACATGAGAAACCCTTTGTTACACAGATATAATAAAATGAACATAACTGTTGTAAATGTTATACCTCTCACGTAGTCTGCTCTTGGTTGCCAGCTATTCACATAATCAAAAGTATGGCCCCTATGTTAACAAGATGAATGTAGTTTTTCATGCACGATTGCTAAAATCAAACAGAGTTCAAGACAGAGTTAATCCATCACAGGGTTAATGGGGTCTGGGTATCACTAGTTTCACTGGTGTGCATGAAAATTGAACAAAAAAAGTGCCAAGGGCATTCTACTGCAACACGTGTGACATAATTAATCCAAAACTATATTTATATTATCTGTATTCATTTATGGGGAAAAGACAGGTTTGAACAGTTGCTGTTAAAAGTGAAGCTTTTCAGGTCTCAGTTGAAGTGAGAGCAAGCAACATGGAGACCCCAGAAAAGACCAAACTCAGCCATCTGCCAAATTTCAGTGTCTGAAATGAACTGACAGTCAGACACTGGTTTATCTACTGGGAGTCTCTTCCAACCATTGGTTAATGTGAGTCATTTGAGTTACTGAAATTTTGTTTAACCACTGGTTGTAGTGTCCTGCCTAGCTAGATTTCTTTGAAATAAATACTGTGTCCTGGTATTTCCAGAAGAGGAAAAGTTAAAAACCCAAGAATTACAAACTTGTGACTGGAGCCATTGCAGGTTTCCAATTCTTTTTGTATGTATAAAAATTGGCCCACACCCCTCTGTAAGAGATAATATTTGGGGAAACAGTTGCATTGTTTATTTCTATGATGCCTAAGACAACTGTTGCTAGGACCAAAGCTCAAGAAATTTAAAGACTTTACTACAATGGCTGCCAATATAGATGTATGGTTTGTAATAATAGCTTAGTATTTTCACCAGATGAAAGTGTTCCTCCTTCTATATAAAACTACAGCAATTCAATAGTAAATATCAATAACATTAATTAAAAAAAATCTAAACACTGACAGAGGAAAAAAGAACTAATAATAATAATAATAATAATAATGTGTCTTCCTTTGTAGTAAATAAAACAAATTCAATCCAAACTTTTAAGCCAAGAGTGCCTAGTGCAGTCACTAATGTACTGTAAACTGGTCTAGAACAGAGAAAGATAGATAAAGAGATAGATACTGATAGACTGATTAGCCACTACTGTACAGTACGTCACAAACAACACAGTCAAGGGTTGAACCTCCACACTTCAAATCCTTTCAGATATCTCTCTTTGTGCAGGAAAAAAAAAAAAAAGTTCCCCAATTCAGTTTCAGTGCTAGTTTTCTCTTTAGCCCATTATTTGACTGTGAATTCACCTTGTGCCCAAATATTCTCATCTTTCAGAGGATTCTGTTTTCATCATTATGATTAGATATTAACTTAAAAAAAAGTCACTGATTATAATTTGATTTGGTTTTGGTTTATGCTGAAATTGATTTTATTTGTTTTTATTCATATTTTGTAACACTAACCCAAATATGTGGTAAGCTCATTGTTGCTGATATTTTAAAATCTATGATTACAAGGGGAAAAGAGCCGGCAGTGATAAGCCATTTAACGCTGGTGTCTGCAGAGTTGCGTTTTTGATATTTCGGCAAAAAAGCTAATAACTCTGATATCAACAAGGCCTCTGCCGAACATAATGGAACAGAATATGCCAAAGCGTAATCCTGTGGCACATGCCCTCAGAGAACTATACGATGGTCATAGTATAACTGGCAAATAATAATTATTACTATTATTATTATAATAATAAAATATCCATCAAAGCAGCTAAAAAAACCCACAAAAAAAAAACAATTTTTGGTGATCAGTGCCTATTGTAGGAATTCTCTGTATATAGTGGCTACAAAAGATGATTTGATTCCAAGACTCAATAACCACTTTCTTCTAGAATAATGGCTGGTTATGTGCAAAAGTAGCCAGTGAAACATGGCCGCTGGCTGTTTCTAATTTGCCACCTTGCCTTTAAAGCAAGAACACAGTGGGACGTGTAGTCACATGAAAATTTATACAGAAAAATAAAAAACAAAACAGTTTAAGTCATTCAGAAATAGATTTGAAATGTGACTGTTACCCTCTTATGAAGACCACCAACAGCAAACTACTTTCAAAACTTTCCTAAAAGATTTGAACTTTTTCTTTAAAACCCTTATCAGTCCACCAGACAGACAAAGACAGACAGATAGACAGAAAGCTAGCTAGCTTTAAAAGCATTTTAGAGGACAGGAGAGGGGAGGAGAGCGATCTCATGGAGAGCCTCCGCCTCATTCCTTTACATCATGGTTTCTACGATGGTGTGAGTGGGGGCCTTCATCAGTAGGCCCTTGTTCCCATTGGGGTCCAGGGGACAGGAGAGCTCCTTAGGCCCACGGTGGTCTGCAGGACGGGAGCTGGCTCCACCACGAACCGGGGCTGCCACTGCCTTAATCCTCTGTGGGGAGAAAGGTGGGATTAGAAAACTGAAGGTAAGAAATGGTCAAGTTATAGGGAAAGTAGAAAGGACAACTGATGAGCAAAGTCTTATGAAAAGATGTCAGGATATGTCAGACAGATTGTAACTGAATTACAATCTAAAAGATTCCATTAATTCCACTAAAAGTGAAGTGATGAATAATAGAGAAGAAAGAGAAGAGCTAAACAGTTAACAGCCAGGCACCCACCTCAATGAGCGGCCCATCAGATCGAATGATCTTGATGACAACCACCATGGGGATGCAGATCATAGAAGCCAAGGCCAAAGTCCACCCTACTCCAATGGCCCAGTCAGGATACTGGTACATCTTGTTGTACGTCAATGGCTTGTATTTGACCAAAGAGAAGATAAAGCAACCCTGGATTGGAAGAGGAGCAGAAGTGTACGTTTTTTTAAATGTATTTTTAATTATTTTGTATCTGGTTATTTGGTAATAAATAATAAATAAATTACTGTGTTATACCCAAAGCATAACGTATAACGTGGTGAAATATCTCTAAACTATATGTAAGAAAAGCTCATGATGACACTAGTACAATTTTCAGTGAATAAAAAGTTGTCGATTGTTAATTCAGAGGAAAAAAGTTGAAATTATTTCTCAGAAATGAGAACAAGTTTAATTGATTATCTGATTGATGAAACAACAGTCCTTACCATACACAGTAAAGGAGTGACCACAGTCCAGCTCCATTTCATCCAAGGATTTGGTCTGTAGCCAATCATGTCCTCAATCGCATCATAGAAATTATCAACGCCTGTGGAGATAAAATACTCAATTGGCTTGCCTCCTAACTGTTGTGAAGTACTGCAGCTGAATTCTTACTGAAATCTGTTACTGTCATATTGCTGTAGCACTTCAGCCAATTTAGAGCATTATTTTAAATTGAAAAAAATAAAGAAATTATGATAAAATGATAAAGAAATAAATATTTAAATAAAATAAAATTTAGATGCTATGACATTAGGCCTCATCCACAAATTAGAAATCTGAAGGCTCAAATCCTATCAGTGTAAATTGAACCAAAATTATGGATTCCAACAGCATGAAAGACACCTGCCAAAGTAACTAACATGTCACAGATTACAGACAGGAAATAATTTAGAAAATTTTACTTTTAGACAACCTCATCCTTTATTAATTGTTTGCAGATTCATGATCAGAAATAAGTATATTTTTTCTGACAAGATAGATTTGAGGTGTCTATGCGGACTTTTCTGTTTTAAGCTGTCTGTCTGTCACCTTCTATAACAAAAGAGTGTACACACAAATAGCTGGGATATTAAATAGGTAGACATTACTAGGTACTTAATCAGTAAACTTGTTGTTGTCTGAATACACAACACAAGGTCATGTTAACTGGTGTTCATTAGAAAAGCATTAATAAAAAAAAGTATTATTTATGTAGTACTCACCATAAACCCAGGCAACAGCTATACATTCAAAGAATGCCACCCACAGAAGGCACACACCGCTTGCTGCATAGTAGTCAAACAGCTGGAAAACATACATGCCACCCTGCAAAAAACAACAACAGAAACACAAAACAAAACACAGACTTAGTTTTAAAATAAGTTAGTTTTTTTTGTTGTTGTTTTTTAAATTCTCCTCTGTCCAGGTGCATTTCAGGTATTTTCAGTTTTCATCTTGTTACCATGCTTTACAACAGAAAGACCTGTATACCAGCATTACTGTGGCTTTAAGTGTATGGGGTTATACTACAATAAGTACAATAGTGGTTTTCCTTTGCAATGAGTTGGTGTAAGAATGACAAGTGTGACAAGAACACTCAACTATGAAAAACTGTTAATCATACATGTACTAATTTGACTATTATAGGATGCTAAGGTAAATACAGAGTAAAAGTGAGCAGCCAAAATGTCCACATGTACTTTGAGTGTGCACACGTTTATCCATTGTGAGAAGTTAGTCATGGGAATCCTGAACTGAAATCAGGCCAGTGCTGCCATAAAAAGATATTGTCATGGGAACAAGAGGGGGCGTGAAAGAGAAGGGGAGGGAGCACGGGTTGGGGCAGAAAACAGTGATGGGAGGTTGTAAGTACAGAGATAATGTTTAAATGTTGATCGTAGGAGAAAAAGCGAAGTACGAGGATTGCCGAAGAACAAAACAAAAAACCCACTTTGTATAATTACTGACCTGTAGATTCTCATTTAAGTGTTTCTTACTTTGCAGTAATAAAGCAAGAAAATATTGGGCTTTTCCCACCTTTGGTGTAAGGAAAATTGGTCATTATAGATTTCTGTTTTGTTAAACAAAGAAGTGGAACTGGGTTATCAAGGGTCGTGTTCAAGAAAACAAAAATATGTAATTAAAAAACAATTTAAACAAAAAAATGGAGTTGTCAGGCTGATTGTATTAAGTAACTCAGAATTTCTAGTCAGGTTTGAAAATGAGTGATTGCCATCTCATATCATAACATAATTAAACATTTTACCTGATTTTTTCATGTCAAACATTTCTCATGAGTATGGCCCATGGCATACTGGATGTGGCATATTGTAAAAGTATATACACAATACCAGGTACCTGCTGTATCAGGACTGCTGCATTTTTCAAATGAAGGAGAAAGGTGTGCTTCTACAGATATTACTGCAATAATGAGGAACTGCCAGGAGCCTTATGTACAAGTAAAGAAAGGTGAAAAAGACAGAATCAGCTAAGATGAAGCTTAAGGAGGATGAGGATGAGAGAACATTGAGGGAAACTGTAGATAGGTGCTACAAACAAGGTAAATGCAAAGGGAAGATGAAATTAAATGAGATGAAAAACAACAGACAAAAGAAACAGACGGGAAGAAGAGAGAAGAAGGAGGAAGCACGAGATTTAGAAAAGCTATATCAAGTCTACTGTATCTATTAATATCAAACGAGGGAAGGGAAGTTCTCATGACTTGACAGTATAAATAGCCCCCTGTCATCTCTTTTGGGATCGACACTAATAGCTGTCTGAACACTGTTTTTCCTGGAGTATTGAGTTGGGAGATGGAGCCTGAAATGAGGTCAGCAACCACAGTGTGCGTATGTATGTATGTATGTATGTATATTTATCAGTGGGTGTAGTGAACATGTGGAGAAATACTGCAGAAATACTGCAGAGTGATTCATTTCTGTTCGAGTACTGTTTTTGTAATTCACAACACATCAGAGTTTGACTGTTTTATAATTTTCTAATGATTACACTGATTCTAAGTGTTCTAAAAGTGCTCTGGCCATGATTGCTGGTGCTTTCTTTTGTGTTCACTTTCCATTGTGTTGTTACCTTGGTAACCATGGTGAGTCCAAGCACGTAGCTGATGCAGCAGATAATAGCGATGAAGACCTCTCTGCGGTAACCCTTCCTTAGGAAGGACGGATACAGATCCACCAGTGATGTGATCTGCCCTTCCACCTCCACAAACTGCAGGGGAACCGAGAGATACAGTGGCATTAATCAAAAAAGGATAAATGCACTAATAAGTATCCAAAATATTTCAGTGCAACTTTTGTTGCTGAGGTTTGGCAGCACTATATGACGTGGCTGTGTAAAATTTCAAACACAGACTAGTCAGTGGCCATTTTAACGAGTGGGTGAAGCGGAGTTGTTATTGTTGGTTCTTTTGAAATTGTGGTACAATGTGTAAAGTGTCTAAGCTTAGAACTCAGGTAAAAAGCAGAAGTAGTTCTATTGTTATTCCCTTATGAGTCTAAAGACGAATATTCAACCACACAAACCACCTCAGTTGTGGTGCGCGTCACTGTGCTATCATGCACCCACTTACAGGGCACGGGTAAGAAATACATTTTGGGTCACTCCATAGCTGAATGCAGCTCTGGCTTACATGCAGTGGCTCCCTGTGGCTTTGATAAAAGCAAAAACAAGGAAAATAATTATAACAATGAATATGGAAAGGAAAAATATAAATTTTCTATATTAAAAAAAGAAAAAAAATCATCAACTAAAGTGTGCATCGTAGCCTACCTCAACAGGGGGTCAATAGCAAGGATATATACACATGATTGCATACGTTTTATTGGTGTTAAAGACGTTCTCGGTCTGTTGATAATAAAGATTATTGCAGAGTGGTGCAAAGATTCAAAGAAAAATGACCTTGAAAGAGTAATGTTTGTGTAATGTAATGTTGTGGTTTTTTTTAACAGTTTCTCCTGAATTTGAAACATAATCTTATATAAATCTTTTTCCAGTTGTCGTTCACCTATTAATTTCACCTATTAATGAATACTATTTGATGACTTTTTGTGTCTATATTTATGCACAGAAACAGACATTTTAAAGCACGAAATATCCAGCCAAAGTCTTTTTCAAACACTACTGTATTTGTGCACAAGCTTCTTCACACACTTGGTTCTGTGGTTGGCCAATGAGCAGTTAAATGTTTTGCTTATGGGAACCTTAAAAATAGCTGACGCCTGTAAGTGTCATCAGCATTTCCTTTTATGGCGAACCTCCTGAAGCTCCAACAGTCACCCATGTGTGAAAGTTTGTTTTTCCTCTAACCTGACTGTCGAGGCCAAGCAGCAGCAGCATAATGAAGAAGAGGATTGCCCAGAGTGTAGGAAAAGGCATCATGGTTACAGCTTTAGGGTAGGCAATGAAAGCCAGGCCTGGACCTGCGGAGGAGAGGGGAAGGGGGTAAGAGCAGAAAGAAGGGGAAGGGGGTAAGGCAACATTAGAACCATATGATAAACTCATCTGATCTGCATCCCTATGGGGGAGAAAAAGAAGCCCCAAACAATGGAGACGCAGAACAGGATATGAACACATCATAAAAAACTGGCTAAATGTTGGGAACAATTATTTACTTTGGTTTTATGACTTTGTATATAGCTAGTATGCACTAACACCAAAGTATATGTAATACACATACTTACCTCTTATGAGCAACACATTATGGCACACTATAAACTGTATACACTCAACACAGCACAGTTTCATATCATTAACAAGGACATATTACACTGAATTCTTACACTAAAAGGCAAACAGAAAAATAAATACAGGTAGAGTATGACATTAAATGCACGCTTTAGTATAATGTAGCTGCAGCTCTGTGGAAGTAAGTAAATCATGAGATAACTTGTAAAGCATTCAGTAAATGGATGCATGTACATTATGTAATGGAATAAAACTGGTACATGGGTTATGTGGAATAAAATTACCAAAAAGACCATACAACACCACAACACTGCAGCAATTCTATGCAAAATATAACCTCAACTGCTAAAGACGGTTCAACGAATTCACCCAAGCCATTTTGCATTCCTGACTGAAATTAGGATGACGCTTTCTATAAGGAATGCAAAAGGACCAATGCAAAACAGCAGCAGATGCAAAATGAGTGGTCAGATAAAGAGCAAACATGTTCTTTTTTTCTGTAGTTTTTTTTTTTTTTTTTTTTTTTTTTTTTTTTTAAATGAGGTCTTATTTGACTTGCTACATCGGGAACTATACAACAGAAGTCAAAGAACAGGGAAGCAGCCATAACAGCGAAACAGCATTGCAGCTGATAACAAGATGTGTCAATGTGTTGCATTTTTTGTATTATTATGATGAGGCATCCAACCAAACACCGCGCGTTGACTCAAAAAAAACAAAAACAAAAAAAAAACAAAGAAAGAAAGAAAAAAACAAAAACCTTTCCTATACCTGAAACAAACATATGCTATATTAACTCAATGAAATTGATCAGTCATTTCTACAAATACTTCCAAAGCTGCATTTGAATGCCATGTCGTGTGTGCTTACATTCTACTGTGAAAACCACAGTATTCTTTGAGTATTCAGTCAGCACATTCTGTCGTGCACAAAACATTCAAGCATTAGCAGTTAAGGCAGACTTACTTCTGATGATTTGGGGCTTTTCATAACCTGCTTGCCTGAGTTGGCTTGATGAGCATGCAGATGTTCCAATACTTATTATATTCTGCTGTCTACGTAACCTTCCGTGTTCATAGACCCACAAAGGTGGACAAACTTTCTAAGGCATGAAAACCAAGCTGATAACCATGATATGCAGGGTGCTCGACTCAATTCCTCTGACCAACACTTCTATTCTAGTTCCCTGTGGAGCATCAGCCCACTCACCAAACAACACTGATCTCTGAAAGTTCTGCACACCCCACCAATACGTTGCCACTCTAAGTGTATATAAACTGGGCTGGCAGCAAGGACAGTTTCTCTTTTTTTGACATTAGCAGACTGAAAGCTACATTTTGGGTTTTTTTCTTGGTCGATCATGGGGCAGAGATGAAGATCAGAGCATTTGATGATGATATACCAGAAAAAACAAATATTAGTATAGATTTCAAGTTTGTGACTCATCTGACAAAGCTTCATGTGCCAACACATTTGAGGGTGACTTATACCTTTGCACATCTGCTTTTAACTTAAATCCTGTGATTCTGTCTGAAAACTACACTTCCTACGCTGAAAAGATGTCGACACTTACAATTCCCTCAAAGCCATTTTCCAAAATATCTCAATCTCACGATGCCGTGAAAACAACTACTCTTTTTCTTTTACCTAAAGTATACTGATAGTCATGCATTCAAAACAAAATCATGTCTTACATGGACAACATGATTGGAGAGGAAAAGAAACCCAAACAGATAAAGGCGCTGGCTCTAGCTACCATGATTAAAAACAACAAATAAATAGAAAGAATCAAGAACCACATATGCCGATGTCACGCAAAAAAAGGAACCACAATAATGGTGGCAGGAATCTCTCGTGTACACAAAAGGAACAATTCAGAACTACATCACGTTGGCACAAGATCCATGTACAATATGACACAGCTAATTCTAAGTGCACTCCGCTACAGTTTTCAACGCGTGCCTAAAAAAAGCACAATCGAGTTTCAGATGCATCTCAGCCCCAACTTGTTTCGTTCGAATGAGCGCTAACAAATCAAGTCAATATTTCTACTTTTTGTCAAGGAGTGTTTGATTTCGGAAGCTTTTATATTCTGATGCCGTCATTCAAGATCAATCAGCGAATCCATTCAATTCCAAATTTCAACTCATTTCGAAACTGGACGTGTAGTCGAATTCTCACTCAGGTTTCGTTGCTGTTTTTCTTCATAATTGCTATTGTTTTATTTGTTAACCAGGAAGCAGCGCCCACCATCACTGCCGCCTTTACAGAACCCTCGTACCTGACTCTGCCACATCAGCAATGTCCACCCCTTGCTCTTGTGCCATGAAGCCCAGGACGGAAAATATTGCGAAGCCAGACACAAAACTGGTACCACTGTTGAGGGCTCCCAGCAGCAAACAGTCCCTATGTCACACATATGTCATGAGGAGGATTTGTTAATGAACACACAAGGATCCCTTTAGCCCCCCCTCTCTCCCCTATCGCTAACCCCCTCACTGAAAACTAATGGCTCACCTGTAGCAGTTGTATTTGTACTTGTTGTAGCTCCCCAAGGACGTCATGGCACCCAAACAGATGGCATAGGAGAAGAAAATCTGGGTGCCAGCATCAATCCACACCTACCAAGAAGGAAGTGGGGACAAAAAGGCTGAGGCTTGCTGATGGGGGGGAATTTAAGGGGATTTTGTACAGCGAAGCAAGTGGGATAAAACTGTGTTTCTGGTTGTTTATGAAAAACCTTTTTTGGCTTTTCTTTTGCCACATTTTACAAATCAGTGTGCAGGCATGTGTTTTGTTGCCATTCAACCAAAAAAAGGACAACAGCAATTATATTATTGCGGTCTCATTTCCTTGTAAACCACATGTTCCATTTTTATGAGTTCAACAATTTTGGAATTTAAATTTGGTTCTTTTCTGTATGAACAGCCGGACAGGTATGTGGTCAAACTAGTGAAGGAAAGCTATAACAGTGTTTTCTTGCTCATGCACCTCAGGTTAACACCTACCTCTGGGTCCTTCAGGCGAGTGAGGTCAGGATACAGGTAGAATTTGATGCCTGCAGTAGCACCTGGCAGCGTCACACCACGGATCAAAAGCACAATGAGCATGACGAAAGGGAACGTGGCTGTGATATAGACCACCTATAAGGGGAGACCACAGGTACAGAAGAGCAAGGTCACACATTTCGGAGACAAACTCTAAATGATCCAGTTTGAATTATTTTACTGCCAATATATTAGCTTATCAAATCTCCATCCACAGTAGTTTTATTTTGCCAGCTAGCTGATACTCTGGCTTTATTACAGATAATGGATTTGATCAGTGTGTGAACTTGGGAATATTTTGGACAACAACAGACCACAGGTGGTCCGTTAAATCAATAGCGGTGTACCAGTATCTCTTATGTGGAAAACTGTGACCACATTTGGCCTTGCAGGAGTGACAATAATACAAGAATTACAACTTGGATCAACTAGAAAGTATCAATCAGGTCAGCGCAATCAATAAAGTGTGTTAGGGCTATAAAAAGAGCGGTCTGGGATTGATTGCCTTTGGTCTTGGAGCAAGCTGTTGCTGCTGTTACTGCAGCAGCAATTCAACGTGGTCTGAAATATTCCCTATATTGAAATACCCAAGATTACATTTATCCTGCAATACTATAGAAAAATGTAGAGAAAATACCAATTTATAAAACAGACAGCTTTCACTTGTCAAGGATATATTAGGCTGGAAGTGAACTGTCATTTTTTTAAATTGATGTTGGAATTGGGAAAACTGGCAAGCATAAAATTTCAGCAGCTGTGACAAGGGCCAAATTAAGATGTCTAGACAACAGGGTCAAAGCATCTCAGCAACAAGAGTTCAAGAAGGGTTTGGGCAAAATGCCAAAATGCTCATGGCATTGACTTGTTGTCCAAACTTCTTAGACCTTCCTTTGACCAGGCATCTGTGTAGCATACTAGGAAATGAAGTGTAACATATGAAACCCCCCTCACGCTCTACAGATTTGCTGCAAATGTCTCAGTACCTGTAAAGAACAGGAGAACTTGTGTCTCAACAGGCCAGAGACATTGTTGTAGCACAAGCAGGGGCATACACATTACAACACTAGTGGCTCTTCACTGTAGATATTATATTTAGTAATAAAACAATTGCAATCTACAAATTCTTAGGTAATTTCTTGATGCATGGAAGCACCCAATATCAATTTATCAGAAAAATCCGTAGTGATTTGTCAAGCAACAAGAAATTGTGTTACAACTTTGTCCTCTTTTAGTCACCATTGACTACATTCTGCACACAGTAGTGTATTAAATAGTAATATTGTAACATTTAAAACATGAATTATGTCACCCATATTTGCCTTTGTTTAGTTTGAAAACCTATGAGCTTATTTTTGTATTTACACAAAGGAAATGTAAACATAGCAAATTGTTCTCCTGGTCAGACCACAAAGGCGAGAAATAAAAATCAGATAAGCATGACCATGTCTTGGATGTTAGCTGAAATTAATGTCCTGTAAAAACCAGGTCCCTGTATTCTAAGAGGAATAAAGAAGTGACGAAGCAATGAACACGAGACACTACAGGATATTTACCTTTCCAGTGGATTTTACGCCCTTCCAGATGCAGAAGAAGCAGATGACCCACACAAGCAGTAAACACAGGGCCAGGTCCCATTTAATCGGGCCGATCTCGTCTATACCACTGGAGATACCGAGTACATTATGCCTGTAACAATAAATAAATGGGTAAATAAATAAATAATCCTCTGTAGGTGTGTGTCTGCAAGCTGCAGGTTTCATTGCCGACTTTCTACCTCACCTTGACTGAACTTTTACATGACAAAGAATGAACAATTGTTTGTGGTTATGCAAGTGTGCAGGTGTGTGTGGTTTTATGTAACTTACTCCCAGAACTCGGTGACGGGGGAGGTGAAGTTGGAGGCGTTGGCAGCCACCCAGAGGGTTTTGTTCTTGCGGTAGGTGTCCTCAATGCAATGATCAGTGTTCCAGGGCTGATTGCACTTGGCCCAGGGCAGCTCAGGCTGAAAACACTGGGATATAATAATAATAAAAAAAAAAAAAAGATAAATGATGACAACTGCATTATTACTATTATTAATAATAATTACTATATTCATGTTCTGGTAGCAGGCTAGTCACTTCTTTATGCAGCTATTGTTGAATGTGTCCCCTGAAAAATGTAAGTTTAGACAAAACTTGCATGGCAGTTAGCTGGTAGTTAAATTAACAAGAATCAAAGATTGCACTACCCGGATGTAAATTCCTCACCTATCTCCATTGTAAATAATACATGCCTGAAACAAGTGGAAAATGAAATGGAATATTCAACAGCTGTCTTTCCCCCCCTCAAACCTACCTGGAACAGGTAGTAGAGGCCCCAGGCCAGGATGACAATGTAGTAGATATTCAGCAGGGACACAATCACAATGGAAGCATAACCAATGCCTGGAGAGAATAGAGCGGTTCAGGGGATTAAACAAGAAGCGGGTCATCAAACTATTAAATCACTATTAATAATTATTAGTTATACTATTACTTTTTTTTTTCTTTTTTTTTCTCTGGAAGTTATAGAGAAGTTATACTATTACTTTTCTCTGAAATAATATACAACAATTTCAATATTGCCATTTTCTGGCACGTCAACTTATATAAGACATGATATTTTAGTGACTGTTTCCAAAGCCCCGCAATTTTCAACACACAGTTTTCTTGTATAAGAGGAAGAGGTTTAATGCTGATGTTTGATTGGCCACAAAAGACGACGAGACCAGTGGCAGAGATGTTCAAAAGAAGGAGAGAAAAAAAAACAAAACAAAGATTTGAATCCTAAGCAAAACTCTATGGGAAATTTGTGTAAAGCACAAGATGGCAGTGGTTGAATATATGATACACCATTTTAAAAATTGTTTTAAAATGTAAAAAGAAAAAAAAAAAAAAAAGAACTGAAAATTGCAAACTTGGATTTCACTAGATAAAAAGATTTCTACAAGCCAGTCATTGCATCCTCACAAGTTTGAGTCTCAGTGATACTTCCTGTTTTTAATGGTTTTGTGCACTAAGTGTTACATGCGCTTAACAGAATTTACAGTGCAAACTGCAAGATTTGTACATCTGCAGAAAAGTCAGCAGTATCAGATCCATTTTTTTACAAAATAGCTAGTCCTTATAAAATGATATCACAAGTACAGGACAACATTTACCCAATACAAGGTCTAAAGCAATCATTTATTTCTTTTTTAACCTTCAGTTTTAATTATAGTGCATCTAATATGTTTAATATCAGCTAAGATTCATTGCATCAGTACTGGCCTTGAATGACTTGAATAAGCTGGTGGTAAACACATGAGTTGTGTGTGCACTCCTGTGTGCTCTTATGCACTACACAAGGATATGAAGGGAAGAAAAACCCCAACCCTTGCTTCAGATGAGAACAGATGTTGAAACTGGGATTTGGACCAAGATTTGGACATGGATTAGATTTTAGTTTAGAGGTCACCGACGGTCCTCGTAAGTATATCAGAAAAAGCTTTGTATTGCTTTTGTAAACACAGCCGACTGAGGCCACTCATACAAATTAATGTCCTTCTACGTCACTGGCCTTGTGTGTGTGTGTGTGTGTGTGTGTGTGTGTGTGTTGGTGTTGTGAACTGCCTGACTAAATTCTAATTTGCAATCTGTGTCTGTGCGTGTTAGTGTGCTAATGAATGCATGGAATATTTTAACATTGTATTATGTTATTTTAATCACTGAGCTAATTGGCAGCGTCATAACCTCTATATGTCTAAAAAACACAGACATGCACATGCTCACAAGATACACACAAACACTTGGATCACATGGTACGCTGCAAATCAAAGAGCTGTGCCCTCCTCCATGACGTCACATCTTGCGTTCATCTGCTGACCTTAGAAGCCCTCATTTTATGAATAACATATCACAACGTTGCCACCCATGTGTTTTACCAAGCTTTGTTTCAAATCAAATAAGGCCAAGTTGTAATTTTGTTTACCCTCACTGACATTGTGTTCATGTTCTGTTTAGCCACAACAACTCAATGACAGTTTTATTCTTCAAGCCCTCATAACTTTCAGTTTACACAGAAGCAGTAATTTATTTGTGTAAGAGTGCGAGATGCAGTCTATAGTTCTTGCTGTTTTTCTATTCCTTTCTAATACTATCTAATACTGTCTAATACTATCTGCTCTGTTTTTATTGGCCTCTCTTTGGCCTTAAAGCCAAAAAATGCCATCAACAGTTCAAATTTCTGAATCCAAGCTAATCACATCACATTTCACTTTAAACCCACAACATAATATATTGCAACAACAAATACCAGTAAGTCCATATTATATTTGATAATTTTTTGCTTGGATTTTCTCCCCTTGTTTATAATGTTCTTTTTATTTTTTCTAAGTCTTGTAGTATAGACCTTTCGCTTCTGTTTCACTCATATCCTCTATTTTGTCTTTTGCTTTTACCATGCTTTGTTTCCCCCCCTGTCTTCCTCTAATTCCCTCACTCTCATCATCTCTTCTCCATTCAAACCTCTCTCCTCTGTTAAATCCCTCTCCACCTTTTCCTGTTTTTTGTCAATCCATCTGTCTGGTCCTCAGATCTGTGCTCTGCCTTTTTCCCCTCTCTCTCTCATCATCTCTCTGATGTGTTGCTGCGCTGTTGCCATAACAACGTGTGATTCAGGACACTTTGTACACTGTCTTGAGAGAGTGTGTGTGTGTGTGTGTGTGTCTGTCTTTGATATCCATGTACAAGACTGCAAGAGGATAATGTGTCTGAAAAGAAGAAAGATTGTGTATTTATGTGAAAGCAAGAATAGCAGGACAAGTAAATAATTAAGATCATAAGAAAGAAATGAATGTGTTTATAGCTCTGAACTGAAGCCATGAATGCATTTCAGAAATAATGACTGTTAATGTGCAATTGCTGAAGATGGAGCAGTATAAATATTACAAAAAAATGACTATTCAGAATTGAACAGACAGGGAGGAATACATTAACCTTATTTGGCTGGTAGTGAACAGGAGGAGAGGGGGAGGTGAGAAGAACAGTGAATGAAATGAAGAAGGGGAAGTGGAGATGCCCAGGACAGAAGGACAGGAGGGAAAAATAATATATAAGACATTTAATAACAGGAGGAGAAAGAAGACGTTAGAATTAAAAAAGAAGAAGAAAAAGAAAAAAGAAAAGACTTGAGCTCAGTAAAGTGGAAGAAAATAACTACAGAGGACCTGTCAGAGTACACTGAAGAAATGCCTCTTGGCAGGTGTGAGCCAGAGAAGGTTAAAGCACAATAGAGTCCTCAGTATGTTGGTGTACCAGTGCAGGCTTGGCTGCCTGGTAACGGCTGCAGGGTAAAGTCTCAGCAGCCTGATTGGATGAAAACCTGGTGTGACTCAGCCTTATGTTACACAGCCATTTCTCAGTGGAAAAAACAGAGGTCTGGAAAAATTCAAAGTCTCGGATTGGATATGGAAAGTACTCTGCACTCAGTCAAATTGGCGGGCTATCAAAAGAAGGGGAAGTAAGTGAAGCTGAACTCACAGGTACAAGTGCAGGTGCAGGTGTATGGAAAGAAAGTTTTTTTAAGTCAATAACTGGAATTTTATGATCATTATAATACCCAAGGTTTCAATGAAATAGTTATAGTGATGTGTCTGAAATTACTGATTCAACAGCAGTAAGTAATGGGTTTCCTTGAGGAAAGTCCTCATGAGACAAGTTACACCCGAGACAGAGTTAATTAGGGTGAATACTCCATCTAACCACCACCATAATCTCCAGTTTCTTTATTTTAGAACTGATATCGTGGGCACCTATAATATGATTCCTAAGAAAAAGCTCATTATTTGAGCAGGGAGGATCTAATTAGGGACTACATACCAGTAAAGATGGGACAGAGCTTCTCCCAGCAGGTAATGCCACCCTCAGAGGTGAACTGACCCAGGGCGACCTCCAGGAAGAAGACTGGCAGACCTCCACCAAACAGGAAAATGAAGTAGGGGATGAGAAATGCACCTAGATGGGGAACACAAGGGAAACCATTAACCTAAAAATATGACCCCCATGAGTTGACATAAATTGTTGCAGCATTTGAAAGCCTTACCTCCACCATTTTTATAGCAGAGGTATGGGAAACGCCAGACGTTCCCTAAACCAACAAAACCCCCAGCAACAGACAGAACAAAGTCCAGCTTGCTGGCCCACTTCTCTCGCTGGGGGTGCTTGCCCTCTGCTTCATCTTCAGGCCGGGTGCCAGGACTCTTACCGGGAGATGGTTTCAGAGTGTCCTTATGGAAGTCTTTCAGACACTGAAGTTTCTCTTTTTGAGCCATTCTATTGAAACAGAAGACAAAGAAGAGATCAAGTCAAAGCTGCATTCATGAAAAACAAAAACAAAAATATTATTAATGTATAATAATTAAAATATATATATTCTTTTTGGTGCCTTCTTTCATGAATGCACTGCATTTTTACTGAACGATTGAGACTGAGTTTTTCAGTTGTGGCAAGGGACTGAACTGGAGACAAAGAACTGTGAGACTAAACACATTAGCTGAGGCAGGAGAACTGCTTAACAGTTGCTGAAGATTCAGGAAGTTGTAAAATTATCATCTGCTTCACAAACCATCCCACTGAATGGCTATTATCAGTTGTAATCACTCCCACAGGCATTACCAGCAGGTTATGCACCCACTCATAAACCATCAGGTTAGGCATCCTCCATTTTTGTCAGTTCTAAGAAGAAAATGACCAAGAATATTTAGGAGACCTCCTGTGGTCATGTAAATAAGTGCATAAAAAAATTATCTGTTGGATACATGAAACTGATTACTGACAAAAAACAAACAAACAAACACCCCAAAAAGAACTGTATATCTTTTTTTTTTTGAATGCTCACCGAGAGGTTTTGTTGCCTAATCCTTACTAAATAGCACATGAAAAAGAAAGCTGGTAAAAATAAACAGTTCAATTTGAATGCATTTTGTTCAAATGAAAGCTAAAACTGATCAGAGTCAAGATAAAAAGATTTGAATATATGGTAACACGTTTAAGATGAAACCGTAAAACTAGTCTTCCTTCTTCGGCACTTCCTCATTGAAACTATTTAATATGGCGCTGTGATTGGCTGAACATTATAAGGGTTACGATGACAACTGTAGCTGTAAATTTCCATTCAGCAATGACAATGAGGGACACAAAGACAGTCGTGGAAGAGACTGACATACTTAGTAGTCAGCAGATGTCTGTCACTGTGGAAAATGCCACATCCCTCTCTTTCCATGTGCTAGGTTGCTGAACCCTCTAGTTCTTTGTCTTCATCTTTCAATCTTATTGTGTCTTTCAGGATGATATTTACAGAAGGTAAAACTGAGGGAAAGACTACTTTTCAGTGGCTATCTGCAGATACAGGCTTTGTTTCCAGTTTATATTTACCTGGATATTTAAATTAAAGTTGTTGGGTTTTTTCTCCCTTGCTTCTACCAGACCCAGGAATGTTAGTCAGAATGCATGATTCTTATGTTTGAATCAGATACAGCATGGAAGTATTTCACTTTAGTTGCACCTACAGCTTTTTTGTTTGAATTTGTTTTTAAATTGGACACAAACTGTGGTCAAGTGACTGGACATGAACGGTTGTCATGTTCAGTGTAACATTTCTTTAAAGGCTTTTATTGCAGAGTAAGGTGTTGATGCCAGCGTCACTGATATCATTTCATCTCACCTGTCTAGGAAGCTAAATCAGGGTCAAATGTTTTATTCATTTGAAAAAGTGATTTGAAACTGAAATTCTAAGTTTTGAGATTTAAAAAAAAAATAAAAAAAAAAAAAATATAAATATAAATATATATATATATATATATATATATATATATATATATATATATATATATATATATATATATATATATATATATATATATATATATATATATATATATAATTTTTTTATTTTTTCATATAATATATCGTTGTTTGGAGAGATTGGGGGTGGGGTGGGGTTGTTACTAGTTAGAAATGAGCATTTTGGTTAAGGATGGCCACCACTCCTTCATGAGATGTTGCTGGCATGCTGGCAGCAGCCAGCAGGTATGAAACACTGTTTTTGATTATCCTGTGACCAACTGCATTGATGGGTGAATGCTTGTAACGTATTGATGTACACTAAGGTGGGTAAAAATTTACCCCAGCAAGAGAGTTATCCGTTATCTGAGCGGCTTATAGATCGCTAAGCCGCAAAAGCTATGAAGTCTGAAGAGAAACCTAAGATTATTTGTGTGTGTGACTAGAACTAAAGGGAGGCACACTCACACTGAAACAAAAGGAGAAACTACTGTGTTTTTTAATAGCAGCATTAAGCAGTAGCCTACAAATCTTATAATGAACACAAACTAACTAATGGAAATAAGTTAGTAAATCAATGATTAAATCAGGCACATAAAGGATCATTCCTAGCCTCTTGTTAATTTAAGACTAGTGTATTGGTGTTTGGCATCAGCAGATATCTTCAACCAAGGTAGAATTGGGGAAAAAAAAAGCTGTTCATGCCTAAATACTAGCTTTTTCTGCCAATATTTGGTTGACTAAGTACAAACAGCCCTGTACAATACCATCTCTCATTTCAAACAAGTTAATGATTTCACAGTTAGTGACACATATATTTATCTTCATGAATAACTTCCTATAGTAAGTTAATGAGTAATGCTAGGAGGAGAGAACTGGCTTTTTGTGCATATATTGTGTGAGTGACTTTCTGCTAGGAGAGACAAAGGACCCCTAACAGCACTAGATATGTGACATTATACCTGTATATATTTGGATTAAGATATTAAATTGAAAAAGGAAACCAGCTAGTAGACAAAAGAGGAATTCACGTGATACTGCAATGTGCTCTGTTGTATTGCAACATCACAGGAATTAATGCAATAAGCTGAATAAACTGACTCAGGGAGTGAAGCCATTTGCCTAAAATAGCTAGGGTGAAGTTAAATCAAATACATAAAAAGAAAAGCACAACAAGATTAAAATGTTTAGCTGGGATGTACTGTGTACTACCAGTTCTTTTGGAAATTACTAGTGTAGTAGTTGGGAATCATCCAGTAATAAAACAGTTTGACAAATCGGGCACTTCTAGTATCAACAACATGCTAAAAAGCAAGGAAAAGTGGCATAGGTGCATTTGAAGTATTCTAAAGTCCCCAAAAATTGGCAGGTACATAGGTACTTTGACGATTTGATGATTAAGCTTTTGGGGGCCCCAACAGTCTTGTGGAAGTGTAAAGTATAATGGACGGCCTAAGACATTGTACATAGCATATATGTAGTACAATCTATTGAGCTTTGTGCAAGGAGTTTAACTTGTGAAGTGAACAGAATTATATCCTGAAATGACCTTTTTTGTCCCCAGTCAGGTGCTGGTGAACATGTAGGAATAACTTGCTCGCCAAGTGTTTTAAGTCATTTGTGCACAGGAATACACTGACAGGAAGGCCATTGTTTTCTGATTCAATTCATCATGTTGTTAAACTTACAAAGCCATACGAAGACAAACACATACCTTCAAGTTCCCAGCAGGGCCAGTGAACAAACTTCCTTGTATTAGGAAAGCGTGTAGAGGATCAAAAGTAATTCATCGTTTTGCTGCAGGGGAATGGCCTATGTTTAATGATTTGTAACTTTAAGTACTTTACAGTGAATGTAAAGTGACGCAGTGACACTCAGTTGCTGAAACAGCCAGAATCACCTCTCATGTTTTGGAGGGAATTGCAGAGTAGCTTAAAATAATTTTTAAAAATAAAGACTTGACAGTTATATTAGTACTACTCCCCAATTTTCAGCTAGGAAATCATTAAAGTCTCAAGAATTATGAATAGCATTTAGCTTGTCCGTTATGATCGCTAGCACTAGCTCCTTTAACTAGAAATGTTACTGTGCTGAATTCCAGTGAGTACAATTCGGTCAAAGCTGAACGATTTGTTGAACAATTCTTTTGAACTAACTGATTCTAGTGATTCAGCATACTGCAATGAATCGTCTTGAACATCACTGGAAAACAGCATCTGATGAGAATGTTTCCTGGGCGCTTCTAAGATTAGATCTTCTAGGCACATTAACTGCGTTTAAATCCTGGGGCTGACCGAGAACACTCTGAAGTGATGTGTACTCAGTCTGCCCTGGGAGTGCTTCAGGACTTCACAGGAAGAGATAGCTTTACCTCTCTGCCACATCATCTATCTTGTGTAGTCTGCTTTCACTACAGACTTGGACCCAGATAAGTGGTGGAAAACAGAAGTAATTGAGTGGTGACCATGTGTAGCTGTAGATTTAGCTGCTCAGGTGGTTCATCCCAAGAAAAAGGCATCATTTCAAAGAGACTGAACCCAATCTGTTCACGGGAATGTTGCTATTCCACAATTTCCTACAACATGACTCCCACGGAGTTAGACTGGCCTTGGAAACCACTATGAATTGTGGGATGATTTAAAGTTCAGGCCAAAAGTTTTGTGCACAACAGAGAACCATTGTGTGTGAGGGTGGACCTCACTGGACCCAGACTCTGGATATGCATTCAGTGACTTCACATATTTACTACAGTCCCAAAGTACTTACATAACACACTCTCCTATTTTGAGACCATGTACATTTCCACTGGGCTGGCTGCAGCTGCCCGTTACATCCACTCTCCTCTTTATTTGCCTCACATTTCTTTTACTCATCCCCTGCATATTTGTTTTCTTTTTTCCTCGCCCATATTTTGTCTTCTGTTAAAGTCTTCTTTTACGCTCATCACATTGTGCTTTTAACAAACATGTCAATATTAGATATTTCATTCATTTCAAATGAGCTATTTAGGCTATTCAGCCTATTAGCTTATGAGCAATGAATAGAATTATTGGATTTAGGGCTTAAGGATGACAGATTCAAATATTTTACCAAAGACTAGAGATAAGATTGGACGTTTCAGTAACAAAATAATCAACAGCAGTCTTCCAAACACAGTGAGATGCAACACAAAACCAGCTGTCCTCTGCCTTTCCAATTCCCATTTTCTCATCATCTTGGTTGACCTCCTTTGCTTTTAGTTTTTCTACATTTTCTTCATTATACATCCTTCATGTTTCAACCCCCCACAGGGCCTTTCAGAAGTCTCGACCCTTTACCCCCACCCCCACACTTTATTTCCACAGCTTGCTTCTGCTGCCCCCACCCCCTTTTCTTGTAATCACTCACCCTTTTCCTCCTGGGTCACTTTTTAAATCAGCTTGTCCTTGTTTGCAAATTTTCTGTTGTTTCCCTCCAATAGCTACCTTCCCTCTTAATTTTACTATGGTTATTTTCTACAAGGCACTCCTTTAGACACTCTTGTTTATTTACAATTTTCCCCCATTAATGCTACCTCACTTTGCATAAGTACAGACACTTCTCGATGCTCTTTTCTCATTTTCATTTCAGACAAATAGAAATGATCATACAAAACTTGTAAAAGAAAGACAGGAAAAGAAACCGAAACACAGAGTGAATATGAGTAAAAAAAAGAGTGAGAAATAGGTGGAACATAGGGACAAAGGAAAGAGTGACTGAAAGCTGTTAAAGATTAACTTGGATGGGGAAAGCTGAAAACACAATGGCATGAAGACAAAAAGAAACAATGAGGTCCGTGTACACATTTGTTACTAAAAATTAATCATGCTACAGAAGGTAACGGCATGTGAGAGTCACATGCAGACAAATACAAAAATAGATGTTGGGCTGATGGACCAAAAAAGAGACTAAAGGCTTTTCTTTGAACACCAAGAATCACAAGAAGTATGAGCATGTGAGGCAACAGAAAGTTATCAAAAGTTACCAAAAGGCTTATCAAGCTACAGTTAACACTCACTGTCGGTTCTGCTAACATTTTTTTTCCACTCTAGTTCTGCAAACTATAACAGGTCAGTGGAGCTGAGCTTCAATTATTCACATACTGCAAATATGTATCTAACAATTAAACATTCAAGAACTTCAAAGATTATGGCTTGTTTTAGTGTCTCTGTAATTTCAACGTTTTGCCCAAAACTTTGGTCATATTTTGGTTTTTAAGAGATTCCTGATAAGCTGAGGTTTATTATGAAAGAATAATGCAAGGTTTTAACCGAACCTTTCGTCATAAACGTTTCGGTTCACAGATTCAAAATTGCATGTCCAGCAGATACATTGTAAATTCGTTGTTTTCATTTTTACCCCTCAGCTGTAAAAGGCCAATGGGGTATTGTCGTCACCTCAACAGACTGGCGCTGTGGACACCCAAGTTTGTAAATGCAATAACTTGAAAATAAGGCGACGTAGGAGTTTCAAATTGATACCATAGGTTTGTCTACTAGGAGACTGAAGGATAGCACTTGAAGCTCTATTTTACTCATTATAGTATTCACAGGAGTTTAATTATTGATACGGTCCCTGCCACCACAAGAAGCGAATAAACCCTAGCTTATCTCCCTTGTCTTGAGGGTTTTTTTGCAACTTCCACCATATTCATCAAGTCTACAGAAGTATTGAGTTCAAGTTCTCTGGAATATATTGTGCAAAAATTTTTTCTCAGTGTCTTGTTTTGATTAATCATTTCTTTGGGAATCTTAAAAGAATCCTAAATTTCTACATTTCCTGGTAAACTGGATTGTTAGCCACAAGGTGATGCTGATCTTTTATCTTCTGTCAGTTATCTTGCATGAAATGTATTAAAGTCAATCACCATGATAACGCATGCACATATGCAATTTTCATCAGCCTGATATACAAATATATAAGGTGTTAATCACTATCGTTGTCGTTTTCACCTTCAATAGCCAAGATAAATAAGATCTTTCAAAGCTGTCAATGCTTTTTAAATAAATGTTCAAACTGAGACCTCAACACATTTATACAGTCATACAAGATTAATGGGGCAGCTCCAACAGCAATGAGCTCATAGTGAACTTACATAATGGTGTGAATTTATGTTGCTTACCGGTTCAAGTTGGTTAATATTTAGTGCGGCATGTCTGATGTCAAGGCCACCTGATCATAAATGTTTGATATCAGCACATGCAATGCAACAGTTTATATTTTCATCCTCCACGTCAGTATAGGTTTGCACCACCTTTCTCAGATTTAATCTGTAAAAAGTGCTGTTGTCACCATGACTAAGATTTTACTAATATGCACATGCATGCACACATACGTGAATGCACACAAACACACACATGCGTGAATGCACACGCATGCGTGAATGCACGCACACATGCACGCACACACACACACACGCACGCACGCTCCACTACCCTCAGATTACTGACTTAATAAATCATTTAACAGCAACAGCCTACAGTTGACACGTCAGCTTTCAGCAGTAGTTTGTCAGACAAGGGAACAACAAATTCCCACTACATTTTCACTTACATAAATGACTATTATTTACAATACAACAAACATATTAAAATTGAAATATACTTTGCAGATTAGATATTAAAACACAAATATAAAAGACAAAGACAAGCGTGATGTAAAATCTAAGAAGTGCATCTCTGGACAGGCTACAGTGTTTCCCCACACACAGAAATTCTTTTTATTAGTCATTTACTTATTTTTTTTTTTACATCCAAGAGGACAACACAATTCAAAATCACTTCACTACAGAAACATCACCTCTCTTAATTTGAAAAGATCAGTCCCTGCTAACCAGCTAGCTCTGACATTATCCTGAGCTTCCAGTGCTATTCGAGAGTTTCACATATCAAACTCAGCACTCAAACTCACGTGCCTTTTAAGCCTGTTAAGACCCATAAACTGTCACATGTGTAGGGGTCTTTTGCAGGCATTTTAAGCTCATTATGTGCACTCTCGTTCTTTATCACTCCAACCCACCGTATTAACATCACTCCTGACATTGTTCAAAGCTCCACTGTCCCTCATCCCACATGATACCGATGACAGCATCAAACATGTAACTGACTGAAAAGTTTGCCAGCTTTCATAAAAAGACATGAGAATGAGGGTATATGATTCTGATAGACTGAACCACTGAACACTTCTTGATTTTCATAAATTTTTACAGCCCCTTGAAATTAGTCACTTGCCAGCAGACTCAGTTACACGAGATTTTTGCCTACATCAGTCAAGATTAAATGAAACTCAAGGCCACTAGCAGAGAAAATACACACAGAAATGTCTCTGTCAAATCCTAACACTAGCCCTATATACCAGTATATTTTCCACTCAGTGTCATTGGGCTCTAAAACACAGAAAACTGCTCCCCTAATATAGTTAAAAGTTAACAAGAACTGGTAACTGACACTTATAAATGATTAAAAAAAGAAAACACTATTAATCTAACCTTGCACTGAAATCTATGGTCTGTGTGGGAGATGTCTCACTGTTTATCAACTGTTAATCAATTCTGTCAAGGCTGAATATCCAATTTCAAACTCAAATAGTATAAATAACTTCATAGATAAGATTTATTTTCTCTCCATTCGGTTTCCTAAACGCTTTGTAAAGGTCTCTTTGTGAAAGATATTCCATTCCAGGTTTTATCATCTTCCTGAGTTAAAAATCCTGGGTAAATTTCCAACTCTGAAACCAACCCAAAAAGGAAATAACTACTTGTTATCAGAACCAAACCCCTCCAAGGCACACTGAGGCTACCAGTAATCATTTTTTTATTCTCTTCCAACCTTTGTAAGACGTCTAAGAGCCCTGTAGTGTAGTGATTTACCCATTCACCTAACACAAGGTCCCCGGTATTGAGCAATCCACTGTAGCGACCCCTTGTGAATAAATGTGAGACCGAACGAAGCGCGTAAGATTAACGTATACAGACGAAAAACGTAATTTCTCAATACTCTAACAATTAAATAGCAATAGGAAGCTAATGATCGCTGCACATGCACTTGTTACTGGAGACGGTAAAATGTCCCCCGTTCATTGTCACAAATAGTGCAGTTACGGAGACAAAATTAAGCGAAGGAGAAAAGAAAGAAAGAGGACGAGAGAGGACGAGAGAGAGAGAGAGAGAGACGTTTTAAGGGGAAGCAGCGTGTGATGCTTTCAGAGCGACAAACGAGCATCTCCGCCTTCTCGTCTCACTTCCCTTTTCTTTTTTAGTTCAGCAACGCAATTATTCGAAACAAAGTCTATATATAATAAACCTAAATGACCAAAAATATAACTTCTCATTTGGTTTAAATAATGTGGATATCCAAGGACCTAAGAATAAAGAGACATATATGTATATAAAAAAGAGAGACAAAGACTGTAAGACTCGCGTAGGCTGTAAAAGCAAATAATCAGATAACAGAACTAAATCCGCTGCTCGCCATCCTAAACAAAGACGATTTAAAATAAATAAATAAATAAATAAATACAGCAAGCAAATGGTAGAAATTAATAAGATCCTCTAAAATAAAAGCATCTGACGTAGACATGTGTGAATCCGCGACATCTCACAGATGACAAAGCTACTGATGAAAACAGATAATTGTACATATTCCAATAATACAAAATGACACTGTAGCCATCTGGGTAACACAAGTCCACCAGTTATCCTTCCTAAACGCTCGCTCACCGACGAGGGGAGAACAGCCTTCACCCAAATCTACCTCACAGCTTCCTCACAGATCTTCACCCGGACATCTCGTGTATACACTGCCATCAGTAAAACCAGCAATAATAATGAAACACATGCGATGGATTTAACTTAGAAATGGACAAGAACTTTTTTCTGTTCCTCGGGGTTTAAAAGGAAAGGTTTCCATTCAGACACAAAATCGAAATAAGTAAAAACATCAAAAATCGTAATTTGATATTTTAGAAAAAATCTATAAGAGAATGCATGTAAGATACACCATCATCTCTCCGTGAAATATTTTGTAGGTGTGCAACGAGGGTGCATTTTGTCTTTACCTGCAATGTTGATGTGCTTTCCTCTGTTATTTTGTCCTTTTAATGTCCTTTGAGCGCCGTCCCTTGTCCGTTTCGTCTTGTCCGTGACCTCTTGAGTCCGTTAGAGCGACTGAGGACTGAACGCGTCGGGAGCCTATATTTAAGCCTATTTATAAGCTTCTCTTCCTGACCTTTGTCTCTTAAAACTGGGGGACCAGAGAAGCAGCAGCAGTGGAAAATCACCGGCTTGCCTCCTCTCTGAGCAACAGGAGAGGTCTATGGTGCCTTCAGGGTGCAGCAGCACACTCGGATTTTTTGTGAAGGCAAACTGCGCGTTTGCAAAGCATCAGGAAATGAATATAGCCATTTACTAGCTAGTAGTTATGATCATATTTATGATAATAGTTTAAATTAAGCAATTTTTCCATGTTCTATCTGGGAATTGTTGCTAAATTAGGCTATACTTTGTTTCCTTTGTTTGTTTGTTGTTAGAGTTATTGTTACTTCAACCAGCATGCCTTTAAAGGTTATGTTGGGCCATCCAAAAAAAAAAAAGTTGGTGTTTACAAGCATCACATGCAGCATTAATAGATATTAAAGTGCCAAGTTCTCCATTTAGTCTATGTCTTATCCGCCTCTCACGAGCACGCGCTCAGATTTTCGAGCGCGTTCTTGAATTAGCTCCACTTCCCCACACGCGGCCGAGGACAGGCGAAGAAGTGCACGTGTGGAAATAAACGATCTCTACGAGATAACACCTTTTGTGGTAACACAGATTCAGCAGCTCTTTTTAATGTGTAGCCACATTTTTATTATTTATTTATTTATTTCATTTTTTTTTTCACAATAGAAAAAAAACGTTATCACAAACAAATCAAGCTCAAATCTAAATCGAAACTAACTTGCCTGACAGAGTTTTTGTTGTGAATAAAAAGATGTTTCTGTTATTTTGTAATCCTATGCTTTGATAAGGAACTGATAATTGTCTTCCTATATTCTGTATGTTTCCGTCAGACTCTTGATGTACACTATAAAAAACAAATAACTAAAAACTCTAAAAAGCACTTTGAGTGCTCCAAGTAGAAAAGCTCTATATAAGAACCAGTCCATGTATAAGGTTATGGCTCCATATACTTTATCCATATTGGTAAATGGGTTAGGGTGATTGAAGGGTTGTTATTGGTAACTGTTGTTTTGAGGCTAACCTGCCATTAACAAATAGATAAATAACACGTGTTTTTTTTTTTTTAATTTTCAACACCTTTTGGTGTTACTGACCAAAAGGATTGTGTAGAGAAGATGTTGAAGTGGACGGAGGGGCCAAAAAACATTGGACTTAAATATTGGAGATATTTTTGTTGTAGACTCTCAGCTGACAGCGAAGACAGATTATTTTCTCTAACCTTATTGAAGGACTGACTTAAATCCAGACTGTAGTCTCACTATGTAATCTCTGATCTGGGAAACTGATTTATGGTCATTTTTAAAAAATTGATTTGATTTTGGCCAGTGCAACTATACATTACATAGCCATCATGAGAAAAGTTGGATATGATGGCAAATATGTTGCAAAAAGCAAGCGTTTAGATGAGACTCATTCATAACTGGAACTTGCAAATATTGTTTTGAGTTTTTTTGTTTGTTTGTTTGGGATGGGGTTCAAGGAAAGATTATTAATACTAGAGAAGTTGAAACTTGCAACCTGTTGTTGTTGTTGTTGTAAGAAGGGCAGTGCAATTTCTCAGAAACTTTAATGGAAAATTACAGACACAATGTGACAAAACTCCATTCAAACATCTGTTAAATTTGGATTTGAACATTGAATTTCAAAAGCATTATTATTATTGTTATTGTTGTTATTATTATTAGTAGTAGTAGTAGTAGTAGTAGTTTTAAAGCACAAACAACAGAAACATACGTATTCAACGCCTCTAATGCAAACTTCCAAGTGCCACCTTAGAAAGCAACTCTTTTCAGGCCTTCAAAGAGAGCCATGCTAGTGGCACCGTTAGTAATCTCTTCAGTAGGAAAACTAGCCACAGCAACAGTGGACTCTTGGAATCCAATACTATCATATATACTGCTCATAACCAAATATGGATACGCAGATGATGAGATCTGTCCCACTAAGCACTGTCACCATAGTGCACAGGATGAATAAAAAATGGGTGTGGATACACAGAAGTAGCTGTGTACCATTCTGCAGGACTTTCCATTCAGCCTTGACCTGGATGACAATTTCACAAAGTGAAGGGAGGAAAGACTTTTCAGTAGATCCCATTTTCTGTATTTTTTGCAAATATGTGTCACTGTGCCAGCAGTACAACAGTGGGGGGAGACACATGTAATACATTTAAAATGCATTGTTGTTTCACTAAGACGAAAAATATATTCAACATTTTATATAGTTCAAGGACATAGACAATGCATATTGAGGAGTAACACTGAATGTAAACACTGAGTTATGTATAACACACACTGTGCTCCTGCAAACTGTCACTAAATTGCTGCTTTATCTATTCAGAGCAAATGGGAAGTGTCCATGTGTCACAAAAGTTAACTAAGAACTTGGCATAAGGTCACTGGCAGGCTAAAGCAGCTGGGTGAAGATAAGGATGTTTACTATTTTACTGCTTTGAGAAACAGAACAAATCATAATATTAAGAAAAAAATAAGAGTTTTGAAACTAACTATTGGCATGGGCAAGAGTTTTTCATGTAACAAGGTGTTGTTTGTTGGAAACAGCGTGGCAAATAGCAGACTTTCCCTACTTTCTTGCTCCAAGCTCTGTGATTGGACAACCTCGACGACTTCGGTTCACTTCCAGAGCACCGTGATGAACTCATTGACCTTACACATTCTGAGAATTGCCTCGGATAATTATTTTTCTCTTAGAGTACCAGATATGACAAAGTACTTTTTGGTTGGTTCTTTATAACTTTTAAGTGATCTGGGTGGAAACTGATAAATGGACTAGCTTCAGCCATATCACTCTTACCTGAAAAATCTGCCTGATCAAAAATAAGAAGAAACGCTCTTGTTTAAAGATGGAAAACATATTTTAGGCATACAGTCAGTGAGAGCTTTCCAATTTTATAATGTTCTCGCATTGCATATTCAGTAAAGGCACTGTATATTTACTTTACTTTGCTTGTAATCTTAAAATGCTGTTAAAAAAGCTAGAGCTGTATTGTTATCTTACCTGTTAAATACTCCTCTTATCTCTCTTCATTTGCATGCTTAACTGTTTCAGTTACAGTACTTCACTTGGTTTTCTTATCATACTCTTTTGCATTTCACATCCACAGAAATGAAAATGATAATCACATTAGGTATGTCCAAGGGGCATGCTACACTTTGGGCAAGCCAACAGTGTAGTGACAAAAACTGCAATTCCTCTAGTGGCCACTTGAGGCTTGCTTCAAAAATTATTCAGTCCACAGACACTCTCATATTAACAGAAATAGCTTTGGCCTCAATGGACAGTTTCTACTTTCATTTAAAATGTACATGTTCATGCTGTTGGTGTCTTTTTCTTCTTTTTCTTCTTCTTCTTTTTTTTTTTTTGCATTTTCAAATTAAATTAATAAGACAACTAATGTGGTTATTTGCCATACTGTCATACTACATGTCATACTACATGTCATACTACATTTCCGTTGAAATAATCTTCTTTGTTGGTCATTGTTGACTCCCAGAAAAAGACATCACTTTTAGTCTGATACATTTACTTTGTACAGTGTGTACTTTGAGTTGAAATGACAATTGCTTTCTCACTTGAAATGAATGACTACATAATCATATTGGTATGTCTGTTGATAATTTTGCTATGATGACCAATCAGTTCATACCGTGCAGTTATGCAAAGTCCTAATTGGAGATGACTAAAAACAATCCTAGATAGTTTAAAGAATAAGGGTGCGAGGTCTGCACAGGTTCAGAACTGTCTTTGATCATTTTTGGATTCACTCACGAGGAATTTTTGAATCATGTATGCACATGCACCAGATGGTAAGAGCAGGTGTTTGCATATTTTTTCATGTTATGAAAAAGATGAGTTTTGCAATACTGATAGGTATCCATTCGTTGAGTGATTTGTGTGCCAATTCTTCACACGTCAGTTTCCGTTGAAACACTCATGAAATGGAACTTAAAACGAGATTTTATGCAGGCGCAAGTTGTATTCAAAGTACCCTAGAGTCGGAAGACGGTGCAGCAGAGGAAAGAGGCATTGAATTCAAAGGCCTCTACAGTTTGTTTGACTATGCTGTCAATTTGGTCTTCCTCTTTTCTTGACTCTCTGACAGAGCAGTTGTTCAAAACAAGTGTACACTTTTTGAGGAGTCATTTCCTATGAAAGTGTGTACACTATATAATTATACTGCCGGCAAACATGGGTCATTTAAAGTCATTAAGTTGTAGGGTAGAGTTTTTTTCCATTTGTGCCTCATTGAAATAGCATGCAAAATAGCACGTTCATTGGTTTTCACTTAAATATATTCATTTACTAGTTTGAAAGAAAGAAAGAAAGAAAGAAAGAAAGAAAGAAAGAAAGAAAGAAAGAAAGAAAGAAAGAAAGAAAGAAAGAAAGAAACTAAATTTTTGGGTTTCAAATAGATTATATGGACAAACACGATATGTATATACAAGACATTTAATACAAGATATGGCCTCCTCTGGACACAATGCAAAAAGTCACATATCTGTCCAGTGACAGCATGGGTGTCCAGATCTATTGTTTAGGCAAATCCTGAATGAGTGTAGCCTGCAGCAGTGGTCACTGGCTGTGGCTGCCTCTGAAAATGCCAACCCAGCCTTCCCCAGGCATCTTCGACAGAACACTAAATCCTGGGGCTATCAGGGTTAAATGTTGGAAAAGGAAGATTGCATGTGGATATGCTCCTCATCCACCTCATCGCGATACCTTTGTCACATCTATTGTCACAATAGATTTGTCACATCTGACTATTCTTGATTTCTATCAAGAACAGTCAGATCAGAGATGGTGCTCTGATGTTGACAACGAAGGCTGCAGCATCTTGGCCATGCATGCCAACATCCAGCATATCAGCAGCTCATCCTCAGTCAGCTTTAATCGGTCATGTCACAGTGGCGCTTTGACAACTCTGTGAATACATTGCTCTTCTATGTTTTGAGACCTTTGGCTTGATAATGCATCTGAGGTGTACAAGTGAGTTCATTTGTGCCAGGTAAACAAATTACCAGTCCTGCCTTTGACTAAAACCAATCAAGTGGAACTAAAAAATACTTGCAGGATGTTTGGATTTTCAAGGAGACTAAAATGGTGTATAGAGAAATGAATTTAAAACTAAGGTTGAAAACAT